AAAAAGCCCCAGCTAGAAGGTCAAACTAGTGATTTTAGAGATATAGTTCCTTGGGATGGTAGTGAAATAAAGTTTCCTTTTAAGCAAATTTAAAGTTCAAAGTGAGCTAACAAAAAATATATATTGCATTAGGACAGTACAAAGGGTTTCTTGATATGAAGGAAATGTGTGAAATGGCCCCTGACAGAGTGAGGCTGGAGACACTGGGGTCATCTTCCAGAGGGCCCAATCCCTGCCCTTGAGGTACTTGTGGCAACCCACAGTGGCCAGAAGCGTGGCTGAAGGGGAGTGGCCTGAATCATACCTCCAGGAGGAGGTGGGGGTTCCCTGGGCACTGGAGAAACAGCTTCAACCACACAGTCAGAGGGCTGCCTCCTATAACCCCTGACCTTCTGCCGCCTCCATTCCCCCTCGCCACCAGCCAGAGGTCTGCAGCGCAGTGGGTACAAGTGAGCAGGAGGGGACCCTCTGAGGCCAAGAGCCCCCCTTTTGCCCAGGCCTGTGGATCCTGCCATGGCCTTGCTGCTGGAACCCAGCTCCGCAGCTCAGACCTAGTCCTGCCTGAGCCAGAAGGACCCCCTCTTGTGCCAGACAGTCAGCCTCCTCTGCCCTCCTAGGGTTCTGGACAACATCGGGACAGGTCTCCAATTATCATCTCCCAGCTGCTTCCTTCCTGGAGCCAAAAGAGCTCCTTATCCCCTCTCGTACCCCCTCCTCATGCCAGCACCTCCTTCCGTACCTCCTGGGGGATCTATCTCAGTGTGTCTGGGATGGAGCAAACAGTGTACCAGCCTGAGATGGATGCTGATTGTGGGGTGGGAGGGTCCCCAGGTCACCCAGTTCTCCCAGGCAGATTATGGCAGGGAGGGGCCCCAGCTCCCAGCTGCTGGAGCAGGCAGAGAGGGTAGGGCATGGAGCTCACGGCAGCTGCACTTTATGACTGCAGCCACACAAACCTCACAGTCAGCAGTGTGGAGGGGCTGCTGAGCAGCCTGCACAGAGAGGGGAGCAGAGACCAACCTCTCATGCCTCCTCCAGGCCCCACTCACCTCTCTGGTGCTCTGGCATTGGGGCCACTGGGGTAGGCGGGCAGGAGCTAGATACTAAGGGGTGGCAGAGAGAGAGGGGAGGAGGCAGGAGAGAGGATCTGCCCTCTCTGAGGGGCGGTGGCAAGGAGGAGCTTTGATGTGAAAAGCTTTAGAATCTGTTTAAGAACCTTTGAGATCCTTGGCTTTATATAACAAAAAAGTAAGCTGAGGCTGGGGAGAGGGGAGTGCTGGGTAACCAGCTGTCCTGGCTTCTTACTTTGTACAGATTTAACTTCTTTCTTCAGGGCCCCAGCTGAGCTGGGAGGATGAGCCTGGGCTTCTGGTTGAGGGTGGGGGAGCGTTCTGTCCTTGGGAGAGGGAGGCCAGTGAGTGACCAGCCTACTGGGGGGCTGTGAAGACTCGGACATGATTTTAACTCTTTGAGCAGGCCAGGCACTTGAAATCAGAACACTGGGAGAGAAAGACCCATGCCAGAGGCACCCTGGGTGTCTTAGCAACTTAGTTCTGAGAGACCTCAGGCTAGCCATTTATTTATTTTTGAGCAGGGTCTCACGGTGTTGCCCAGGCTGGAGTGCAGTGGTGCGATTACGGTTCAGTGCAGCCTCGACCTCCTGGGCTCAAGCTATCCTCCCACCTCAGTCTCCCAAGTAGCTGGGACTATAGGCACGTGCCACCGTGCCCAGCTAATTTTGGGGGTTTGTTTTGTTTTGTCAAGATGGGGTTTTGCCATGTTGCCCAGGCTGGTCTCCAGCTCCTGAGCTCAAGCGATCCACCCACCTCAGCCTCCCAAAGTGCTGGGATTACAGGTGTGAGCCACCACACCCAGCCTCATTAATTTAATTATTCATTCAGTCTACAGATCTTTTCCCTCTCTGAGCCTAAGGGCCTAATCTGTAAAATGGGGACGTTAATGTCTAAACTTTGCCTTTGGGCACGGAGTGAGAGGCCAGCCAGACAAGGGTGGAGAAAGCAGGTTGTTTTCAATGAAAGACATTCCTGAG